ACACGCATGTTCGCTTGTATTGGCAACTCTTCACCTTCTGTTGCCACTAATTCCCTCCCGCAAATTGATTTTCTGTTTTTCCTTTCTTCACGAACTCCTTTATCAAGGGCTCCGTCTTTATGATTGTAACCATGCTTTAAGTAGGCTTATGACTACCTGAACAGCAAAGGGCTATGCGTTGTGCTTGAGTAATTTCCCAGTACGGGGCAACTTCAGCAACCCACTGAGCTCTGACAGTGTCCTTGTTGAGAAGCAGTAAACGCCATCACTCGGACAATAACTTTGCCCACCCAACGTTTCGAAGTTCCCTCATTATCAGAGGTAGTAACAGAAACGGTAGTTCGTGCACAGTTTATATGGGGGGTACAGTCGCTACGCTTCTGCGTACTTATGTCAATCGACAGCCCCCCTTATCGACGATAGTTGCCCGCTTGTGCGTGATTTTGGCCTGATGATTATTTGGAAATGCTAATTTGCATGCTCAGTTCTCGGTTCTCTGTGGTATCCCTAAAGTCGCGAGCGCGTAGCCTTCTTTGTAGTCTCTTCTGCCAATACCTTTACTGTTATGTCTTTCCACGGGATACATTTCACTCTGTGCGATATTCCTCTCTCCTTTTATATCAATTTTTAAACAACCAGATTTCACTTCTTTGCACCGTTCAATATCTACACATTGCTGAATCAATTTTGCGTGTATATTTTTATTGTAGATTGTCCTCAAACTTGATTTGCGCCTAACTTTATTTAAACAGCCCCTCCTCTGCTCTCATACCTTCACCGTTCAGATGTTTTCCCTTTAACCGTTCACTTTTATTTTCCTCTTCCAATTCAGTCGGAGCAGCGGAAACCGAAAAGAAGAGTGGGCAAGCCGAAACCACGCTACCTTATTAGAATAACAAAGATTGAACACGACTCAGAGGGCTGTGAAACGGGAAATCTGCGACCGACCTTCTACCTTGAAATGCCCGACCTCAATAACCCGAGTAGCGAGACCTGGAAATTCAGTTTTCGCTGCAATCTCTCCGACACAACAGACGACATTAAACTGGTGAGCAATTTCTGCCCTATGCTGTCACCTGTCATGTCTTCCTTTCTTTCGAATCCCGTAGACTCAATTGGAGTTTGTTTAACATTTCCCAACCACCGTCCGGTGTACTGAGTAAGTGTGTGTGTGTGT